AAATGAATGTTGTACTTTTAAATAAATTTGAAATTTCTGGCATAAGCATGCCACTCAACATGCTTCTCATTTTTCACCATTAATAATGTGGAAGTTTAGCTCGGTTAAATTCATTTGATTATGCTGAGGTTGTTTTTTGATTAGCAGTTTAAAATTTGCATATGCTGATTTTGTTTCTTAATTTACTGCATTTTGAAATCTATGAATAGCTATGAATATTTTAGCGGGATATAAGTAATAAAGTATCAAATTACAAGACCAATCAACAAGAACTTAAACTTAATAAAATGAATTCTATTGGACAAAGCTGTGACTCGAAGAATTTATAATGTACATCCGACTACTTATTCAAGTACCTGAGTTACTGTAAAAAGTGTTGTAATAATTTTTTTTTGTACATTCGTTATGCTTAAGGGAAACAACGTGCATTGTATAGCCGATTAATGAATTGAAGTGTCTGTATAGCTCCTAATCATCTATCGATTGCATGAATCATAATGTGATGCATTATTCCTTATTTTTTTCTTTAGAAAAATGTACATCTAGTAATGAATGGAAGTAAAACACTTTAACATACAACATTAGCAATAAAGTTTATGTTGTAATAAGTTCTATTATCAAAAAATATAAAAAAAAGGTTTGAAAAATAAGCGGTGAATCTAAGTTGTCTGCTTTGCTTTCGGGCGTTTTGTTTCGCACAACAATTTAACAAGAAAAGCATTTAATGATTTCAAAGCACTTTATTAATACATTTTTTTTTCCTTCAATGTTTCTTATTATTACTATATTTTTTCATTTTACTTTCATAACTAACCAACATAAAAATATGTACACGAAAATGCGGAGCTTTACAAGTTACAAACGGCCAGCTGCTTCGAAATTGCAATTGAAGATTTGTTACCGATATGAAAGTAAACCTCCTATATAGACACACCTTTGTATCTATTCGAGTCAGTAAAAAAATATACTCAATAGACAGTGGCGTTCAATTATAAATGTATTAAATGTCTTAAAAGAATTGCAAACGTCATGTGCTAATAACAAAATTGTTATCCGCTGTTATAGTTCGAATTGTGCCCATATAGTTTTGCAAACTTAAAATTTAATCTTTGAGAGGTCTCCACTGGATTGTGTTCCTTTTGCATAACTTTGACTTATATTTCAACTGAGAAAAAAAAATATAAATGCAGTAATAAAAAATAATATTTGATAAAAAAAAATGTTCATAAATTCATATCATTGCATTGTTGAATAATTAATACAGGGAGTCGCTTGCAACTCGAGCTTGCAGTTCACTAACGTGAGTTCAAAACAAGTTTATTTACAAGAATTGTAATAATAACGAAGAAAAACTCTACTACTGTCCATTTAGAGTGCTCGATATGTGTGACATAGCCACTTAATGATTGTGTTGAAATTTATATGAATTATCGAGCATGCTGAATTTCCTCTCACTTTTACTAAAAAGAATGGAAGTAATGTTACACCTTTTTTATGAAAATTAAGGAAAATCGTATCTCGTTATACTCCAATGGTATTTTCATTTATGTCAACTAAATGATTTCGCAACATTGCAAAATTTTGCTTTAAAACAAATATCTATTTCGTTAAGGAACAGCATGTATACTCTATGATGCTCATACATGTACCTCATGTTGTATTAGTTCGAAAATTTATTGTCTATCTTTTGATAATTGAGCCATTTTTATTCTCCATATAATGACAACAAAGCTCCGCTTTTCAAAGAATGTGTCAAACTTTATTTTGCTATTGTATGCTGAAACTTGATACATGCATAAAAGTTGAATCTTTAGCATCCAGACTGAGAAATGCCTTCTAATCTTGTTCTGTCGTTATGTCGTCAAAACATTTTTGATTGGGTTGTAATCTTTTAAGGATTCCAAAAGTATTGAGAGCTCCTACCCGAATAGCATAAGTCGATTAATCGAATGGAAATTTGGCAACAAGCTGGCATGACTCTGACATGCTGCTGGTTTCGATTTAAATCTAGCATCATGCCAGAGTATGGCTTGATGCCGAATTTCTAATCGATTAACCGACTTGTGCCATTCGGGCTATTTAAACATCCATTAGAACAATTAAGAAATAAGAAAGGAGCAACTAGCTTTATCAAATCCCAAATCTAAGATTTATATTGAGGTAAGATTAATCAAATGATTCTAGAATCTATCACTGAACCGTTATAGAACAATAAACTATGCATAGTGTTGAAATATTGAAGTGAATAATCCTGAAAGAAGGGAATTCCACATGTAAGTCCCAACTAGTTTTTAAATGCGCCATTCTAACATGTTATCATAAAAATGTATGATACTCGGTATGATATTTGATATACACATAATTACATGGACTTTAATGTTAATCGAACTAGTCGCAATATGTGCGCATATTTCCACACATACATACAACGAAAAGGCATTATTGAAGCGTGTATAATGAAGATATTTCTTTTGAAAATTGCAAGATAAAGTGGTTAATGATAATGAAGGCATCTATAAACGTTGTTACTTTTGTATCCATTCACTTCAATATTTACGATTATTTTCATCTTCATCTATTGTTTCGCCAATTCAAAAAGGAGAAAAAAAAACATTGTCATTTGAACGCGTTTTAAATATGCATATAAAATATGTACAATAAAATAAAGGCAGATACGTTATTTCTCCTCAGTATCGAACCTAATATTGTTGCTAATTAGCATAAAAGACAATAGATGACAGGAATTTATTAACTTATTGATTGTCGTTGTTCCTTTGTGAATTTAGTCTGCACGACATTTGATTGAAACATACATAACATCATGTTCTTCAACAGATATTTTTATTGATCTTACTACCTACACAAACACATTTTGCATTAGCATTTTTTTGCTTTAGGAATATCCTATTAGGTTGATGGTAATTAGGGGGATGTGATACTTGCTCATTGACTTACATACATGACGATATTTTTTAAGAAACTTTTTCAATGATCTAATCTTGAATCAATAATTTTCATGTCCGAAACAGTTTTTTCATGTGTGACTAATTGACAATATTGAATATCTAGTGTTATAGACTACCTGTGGAAGCTACTATATTACTTTGCCATCAAAATCGAAACTCTCATTTGCATTTCTTCATCCATCACTGTCAATGGATAATCTAATGATTCGCATGTGTCATTTGTACATAAATGTAATTGTCATCAATTTATGAATATATCTCGAGAATTTATGAATGACTTTTCGAATGAGAAATTGAAAATAAAAAAAGTACGATTCATTGGATCGCAACTTATTATTATGTAAATGAGATCTTTCCCATATTTTTGTGCAGTTTCTTTGAGTTTAAGGAACAGTACAATAAAAAATGACACACTTTTAATTTATGTCTTTCCTAGTTCAATTTTACTTACATTTTAGACAGCAGGAGAGGCAAAATGTCCAATACAATAAAGAACATAAAAGGAATAACAAGACATTCGACAAATGTATGATTTATTTTAAGTACTCTAGTTTTTAATAAGCCTTTGAACACAATAACCCATTGGCATTTAACTCTTGCTTATTAAAATATGGATGAACATAAAACAGTAAACAATTCAATGACCATCTTCAGACTTTTCAGTCTACTTTTACCTTAAATATCATAAAAATTATTTGCATTAGGCAACCAAATTTTCATAGACTTTTTCTGACCTTTTATAAGTTATGGAGCATAGCTTTTAAAGAGCTAAAGAGCAATCCAAAGAAAAATCCAACCATAGACCCGAACATACAATGAGTATACTCAGAGCACATTATTTGTGAGCTTGCAAACTTTTGTGAGAATGTGCTCATTTCATACATTAAAGTGATGCGATCACGGTACCTTTTTGAGTATGCTCAGTGAGCACATTCCTATTTGACATGCATTAAGCTCACTGAGTAAACTCATGAGCATACTCAAATGAGAAGGCAACATGCCACACGCAACATTTTTTTAATGCAACATTTTTTATTGAATATACTTATGAACATTCTCAAAGAGCATATACTCATACACATACTCAAAGAGCTTATACTCATAAGGATACTCAAAAGATATATGCTCAGTGAGTTTATTTTTGAGTATATGCTCATCTGAGCACATGCATGAGTACAATCAGTTAAAGTCACAAAATTCAAAAAATTAATTAAGTTAAATTTGAGTTTTATAAGGATAATTCTGTGAATAATTTTGGAATGTTTAGAAATTATTTATTAATATTTTATCTCAAATACTTAAGAAGGAAGTTTTAAAAACCGGTGACCCATCCTTGTAGAAAAACCTATTGCGTTGCTTAACTTCTGTCACCTCACACTTTTCCTTGGAGCAATTTTCTTTAAATATATAATAATTTTTATATGGCAAAACACATACGTAAATTATTATATTATTTCAGGCAAACTAAGTTCTTTGAAGTTTGATACGCTGCTTAATTGAACTATATTTTTATGAAATATTTGAGTTGATCAGAGCACGATCGTGAGAACATATTATGAAAAATGTCGACCAACTTAAAATTAAGCTTAAAATACATTTTTATGTAAGTCGACATTTTCGAAAATGAGATAAGAAGTGTATTCATAAAAGTAAATACCCATGAGTATGTTCTTATTATTCTTATGAGAATGTTCAGTAAGTGCACTCAAATGAGAACGTAAAAAAAATTATGTCACACAGAAGTGAGTATGTTCTTATTATTCTTATGATAATGTTCAGTAAGTGCACTCATACGAGTATAGTCAAATAAGTATGTTCTTAATATTCTCATGAGTACACTCGTTGAATGCACTCACGTGAGCTTATAAATTTTTTGCAAAAAAATAAAATGAGTACATTCGTAATGAACTCCTGAGCATGCTCAATTGAATGATCTTGCATGAGTGTAATTTTGAGTAGACTCACTTATATGCTCACTTTTTTGAGCATGCTCTTTGTATGTTCGGGAGATATTCATGAATCAAATTTTTAAATTAAAGCAAGTCATTGATTTCTTAAAAAAAAATAAAAATCATTTTGGAATTTCAATTTTCTCATTTTCAAAATTTTCCGTGCTCAGTAAAATCAAAAGAATGGGCTTATTCAGAAGTCGATCAAAATCTAAAAACCGCGATTCCAAGTCAAAAACTCGCGATTCTAAGTCAAAGTCAAGAAATCGGGGTTCCACACCAACCACAAAGACTACAAAATCCTTGTGCTGCTGTAAATCACCAGTATCAGGAACCATTTCATCAAGATGTCTGCAATCCACATGTTCTGGAAGAAACAGATCATGTTGTAGACCAACAACACCTTGTAGACCATGCACTCCAATCACATGCTGTAGACCAACTTGTTCCTGTGTAAGTTGTAACTGTCAAAAGAACAAGAAAGTTAGCAGCAAAAACAAGGAAAGTAAAAAGGATGTAAAATGTTCAAGGATTGGATGCAGTGAGAAGATGCCATGTGTTTCATGCTGTAGAATTGGACCAGAAAAGACAAAGCATCCAGCTATTTGCAAAAAATGTAAATTATACGAATGTCAATGTAAAGTAAAGAAAACAAAGAAATCCAAATGAAAATAATAAAAATTTGACTAGAACTTTATTTTTTGGACTTTTTTTTAAATTTCTCTAAACTTCATTTCCACCGATTATTAATTCGCTGCTTCCCAGTTGTCATGCTTCCTAAAATGTTGTCTTCCTGTGTTTGTGATGCAAGTTCCTCATCGATTAATAATTCGAAGTTTCCCAAATTCTCAGCACTCGGAATCTTGTTCCATCGTACACTGGAAAAAATCGAGTATTATAGACGTAAATTAAACGCGGATATAGAATTTAACTTACTCTGGGATTCCGTCTGGTGGCAACACAATATTTAAAATATTATCAATTAATTTATACTTAAGTATTCTGTCATTGACTGTTGTGGATGTAAGTGATGGAGATGCGTTCACTTCAACAAGCCATGCTTTCAAATTGTTATCAATAATTATGTCGTAACCGTAACACTCGAAACAATGTCGATCAGAGGCCATAACTGGTTGAACAGCTTTGAGTGAATGCACAATAAGCCAATTGATACCACCAAATAATTTTTCAGTTACTTTCTTGCCTCGAGTGCCCTCTAAATATAATTTCAGGTTCTGTACGCTCCATTTACCGCCATGCAAGTTGTTATATTCGCCCTTGAAATAAGCAGAGAAGAAACAAAAATCAAGATATTCAATCGCCAAAACCAGATCAATGCTTCAAATGTTGTTTTCTGTCGAAAATGTTTAAATTAATTTTTTTTTCTTCGTGCTTGTTCTTGCACATGATACTGTTTAATAGACAATATTCATTGCATATTATCTCGTTCAAGATTCTTAAGAATATAATTAAGTCTTAATGTTATGCATTATTGTGGATCATTATTTACATCATTACATCTTTTAAGTTTTGTTTCTTAGATTTTTCATCAACTTTTCAATGTTAATGAATTTTTTCCTTGAAATTGAATTAGATTTTTTTTTTTGTCAATTAGCAAATCAAAATTAACGAGCGAGTACTCTAGTCAGGGATTAATTTTTGTATCAAACATTTCGCAATTTGTACCATTTTAATAATCTTACGTGCAACAATAAGAAGAAGAAGAAAAAGTTGAATTTAACTTACGCCATGCTTTTGAACGCTGACATTTGTCAAGTGCACATACATGTTGTCTAATTCAGTGACACTCGTATCATATTTGACAGTACAAAATCGACAAAATCCCAATTTGAATAGATAGGCCTTGAGAGGACGAAATGATGTGACCAAGACATAAAGCCTTAAATCGAATTTTTTGCCGCCAATCAGTAATGGATTGTCGATGTATCGAGAGATAACGTAACTTTCCTTTCCAATTGCTGGATGAAATGACGTTTTAGCTTCACGTGACCATCGCTTTAATTTGCTAAGTTTATTAATTAAAAATATTCCAGCACCTTGAGATTTTCCGGTAGGCTTCATAATCCAAGTACTTTGCGTATTTTTGCGATATTCCTCTACAAACATGTTATAATCTAAATTGGCATGTAAATTAGAGAAAAATAAATTTTGTGTAGCAGTAGCAGCGAATATAATTAAAGCTAATGAGATTAATTACCTGCCGGAAGCACAAAGGTCACAGGAATAAAGTCGAGATATAAATATTTTGGACCATTTATTCCGCCATCATTGACTTTTTCCGCTAATGCACTGCCATCACGTTCTAAGTCTTTACGATACCTCTTAATATTTTTTACAAGCAAGTCTTTACGCGAAAGTTCATAATGATTAGGGAAGTGATTTATAATTCTAAAAAAAAATCAATAATTCAAAATAAGGAGTTCAATTCAAATCAACACATACTGGTTATCGTGCATCCTATAGCCTGAATCTACACTAAATATATTTCTACATGTTTGTGTGCCAGCCCAATAAAAGTTCCAATCATCATCAGCTGTCACTTGCATCCAGCCTCGTTTATCAAAGTTGTTTAGAAGGACTGACTTGTCCATATCGGAACAGAAACAAATTTTCATCATTCTTGAGTTCTCGTTGTGTGTTATTCTATCAATAAGGAACAGACGAAAAAAATTATGACTATAAAGCTATAATAATTTTGATATTTGATACTTCACCTTCCGTACATTGTTGAGAGGCTTGATGCATTTGCACGCTTGCTGTTATCGTATGCCATTAAGACTAGTCTTTGAATTTACACAAATAAACTGATGATTTGACTTGAAAAATCAACAGAAAAAATATAATAAATTATCGGTTGCTATAGTTGTTTCTCAACAAATTGAGCTATAAATATTGTAACCATAACAACACTTTATTCCCATTCAATTAATTATAAGGAGAAATAAGTTGAAGTAAACTGAATATTAGCAGTATCATCATCCATTACTTTGATTGAATATATAGCTACAAAGCATGAGTGAGTGAGAAGGACAGGCAATCAACAAGTAGAAAATGTAGACATTAATTAGCATTTAATATTCAGCAGAAAAAGAACATATTAAGCTACAATAATCAATTGCAATGCGCTTTAAACTGCGTTGCCGCTTTAGGACAAAACACATTTAAAATCATTAAGTACGCGCAAGTCATTACGCTATTCGATGTGCATTCATAAACATTTATTTATTTTTTTTTTGTTCAACATGAGTATCATGCTGCTGTTGCTTGCTGCCCCATCGCTTGAAATGTGCGCATGCAAATTTGAAATATGGAGCAATTGTTAACTGCTCCAAGATAGAAAATTAAATACAATAAAGGAAAATAAATAGAAAAATAATGCTAGCAAGTATAGCTATGGAAATGAGAGTAAACTTTAGAATTAAAACACATTTTCATATAACAAAGGATTGAGTATGGATATTAAAATACTCAGTTTTCTGTAGATTAACTTGAAATTTATTCAATTAATAGCCGTTTCAATTCAATGCTATTTAGTTCCTGAAGAATAATCAAAAACATCCTGATCTAGATTTAAATTATTCAAATCATTCATAAAGCAACGATATGGCTTTAAATCTATCTATCTAGTTGCAAACGGATGTTTGAACTTAATAACCATTTTAATATTTTTTTATATCTTTAAAAACTAAATATCTCCATTATAATAATTTATTGATTTCTCTTTCAAAGATATCAGATAAGATACAAAAGAAGACAACAATAGTAAAGTGTTGAGAGAAGCATTGTGAAGGTTTAGCTTGTTAGGTATACGGTGCATTATATGTGATAATAAATTATTTCGAAAATGCTATTGTCTTCGAATATATTTCAAAATATTTGTGCTACTATAAATTTAAATATTTATTGGAATCGACCAACAAGGTGAATATAAATGGGGGATAAAGACCAGAGGCATTAATAATTGTGATGAACTTTAGAAGGATTCGAGAAAAAAAGATGGATTTTTTTTTAAAATGTGGAACAGACTTTTATGAAGTTGTAGATTATTTGATAAAAAAAAATCCAAGTGTTTTGCTATTGCAAGTATTTCCAATGTCAAGGATGTCAATTTAGCACAAATATGATTAAAGCGAAAAACTCAGCATAGAACAAAAATAAAAAAAAAAACAGCTCAACTCATAAGCACAATGATTTCATCGTCGCCCTTGTGATATCTCCATCATTAATTTCTGTAACACAATTTTCAACCTTTTCATAAGCATCTCTTTCACTTTATAAAGTGATATTGAAAATATTAATTTTTTTTTATTGAATAGATGTATTTAAAAATTAACACTAATCAGTTTAATATTTTGCTCGTTTAGCACCCACAAATTATGCTAATAAACAAACTCGTTAAGCAATTTAAATTTTTCAAGTACATTGCAGTTTCATGTTGCATCAGATGAAGTATGAAAAAAAATATTTTTCAATGCTTTATTTGCTCCCTTTCTTAAAGCCTTTAGTAATGCATGCTTACACTGATGAATTATCTAATTTGCATAATTATGATGTACCACAATTCTTGTAACAATTTCAGATAACTTATTGAGTATTTGAATAGTTTATGAATGCTACTCCTGTCATAAACATTAACTATGTGTATCTTGTTCCTTTAAACATTGTAAATATTTTTATTTTTCACGATAAATGCATGTATTAATATCGGGATGTCCATATGTTTTTGGATTCTATATAAGGATTTCGAAAAATCATGTAAATTGTTGGGTCTACAAAAATGAGAATAAGAGAGTATATGGTCACCCAATAAAGCAATATTAAATCCATAAAAAATCTTAAAAATCAGCATACGTGCAAATAAATTGGAATTCATTGCAGATCACATTAAGGAAGTTCAAAAATGCATAATCGTAGGATAAATCTCAATAGTTAAATTTCTCTTATATTTTATTGTTTGATGCTGTAAAAATAAGCTCATATGGTTGGATAATGGTTACCTGATTTGAATGTTGGGCGGCATGTATGTAGAGTAGTAGCATTCCGTAAAGCTGAATGATTATGTCGATTAATAGTAATCAGCACTATAAAAATGTGATTTATTTTTATAATTTTAATTACAATATCGTTCTCACTTACTCTTGGCTGTTTTCTCTTTCATGTTGTGCTTGCATCTATACAACAATATAGCAAATGTATGAATACAAAAGGAAAATGAAAAAAAAAAATATAGAGTAAAGACATAGAGACATTACTTATTAATATAGAAAAGCACTATTGAATATAATATAAGAAGAAAACTAAAATTGTGATGTGTGCAAATGGTCAAGCATTTTACTTTCATTTTCTCCTTCAATATCCATTAATATCTATGCAGTATTTATTATATTTATAGAGCGACGCGCGTGTTGTAAGAAAAAATGAAAAGTTATAATTTAAATTACATTCAAATTGAGATTTATACTTTGCATTAGAATGTCATTGGCAAAAAGGCCTTTATCTATCACACGGACTAAGCAGCACAAAAAGATAGACTTGTTCACCTTCTGCTTTGCAGCTTGCAAGAGTATTTGTGGGAGGATTTTGATCATTCTCGTAAAACATCTAATAATTTTTTCTACAGAATCGATGCTAGACATTATAAGCTTGCAGCTGTAATTTAATCAAAGTGATTATCTCCGCGCTCGAGTTTTTATTGCCCTATATTTCACTTCACTTAATTATTGCATATTCAGATAGATACTTGCGGAAACATCGTTGAGTGAGGGACCTTCATGTAGATCTCAATATACATGCCTGTAAATATGTCGCTAATTTACAGCAATCTATTAAAATCTATCTCCTCTCAATGCGCATTAAATTAGTATATGAATAAATTTTTGATATGATAAAAAAATTCTCCCTTGTATCGGTTTCTATCTTTCTTTCTCTCTTACTCCATGCTACTTGCTAACTCGCTCTCTATCTATCGTGTATTATAATTATAATTTCAAATGTGATATTACACAACACGTTTATATACAAGTCTTTTTCGTCGTCTCAACATATAAACTGAATTAAAAAGATATATATAAATAAAACTATTACATTCTGATGCGATTATGACGAGCGGGAGTGGTGTATATATTGCAAAAGGTGTGGTTCGAGCCGTCGTTATTATTTTCATATAAAGTATTATTTTTTTTTTTCATCAGACATTGCTATGTACGCTAAAGTAATTCATATTTGATAACGGTATACAAGGTTGTTTTGACTCACAATAGAGAACTGTTCTTGATTTTCTCGGACGGTTCGATGAGAGATTTTGCAAAGTAATTGTTCGCTTCATTGTTAAACTAGTTTTATAGATTGTGATCCTAATAAATGCCCATGCCTTTGTGCCTTTACCATTATTCAGAGTCGAACAACAACAAATGAAAAAAAATTAAGTAAAGGCATAAATAATTGTGTTGCAAATAAATACGAGAAGTGCTTTTGCTTTTGCTGCTTGTTACTGCTTAACCTGCTTTGGACATTAAATGATAATATCTGGAACAATGCAAACATGGCGCAATAAACGATAAAACTTTTTGAGGTGGCTACTCCTCAGGCTAATCAATATTTCCTTAATAAATCTGATAGCATGCAACTGACTATCCATCAGGATTTATAGTTATACAAAATCTATTTTGCACACCTAGTTGCTCATTCTTCTTAAAAATGATTATTTATTTTATGTTTCTTTCAAGGATTTACAAACTATAATTAACATAAAAATCCTTAAAATTTCAACATTTCAACATTTTAATTATACTAATCAATCTTTTTACAGCTCAAAAGTAATGTAAGAGCCTGAAACACTTTTCACAATAAGGAAATCAACAAACAGATAAATGTTTGATAGCTTTTGTAATTAATTTTTTAAGCCTTAAATATCTACTTATATTCTCATTTGCATAAAAACAAGCAATTCATACCGATAACTGTTGAGTGATCTACAGCTTAGCAACAACTTTCTGGAATGATTAAAATCATTTTTAGAATTAGACCACATTGAATTGATTGAATTTAAATTATCGAAATGCAGATTGTGCATTGAGAAATCCTTATTTAAATCTTATATCTAGAGTTTCCATCTGCACTATACTCACGTTCAGATTTCAACAAAGTGTAGATTCAAAGGAGTGTCTTGGAATTTTTATGGAATAAATCGATAGTCACCCTAACCTAGTCAACCTACATATGACTGAAGGCACAAGATATTGCACATGGTCAGTAACAAGAAAACTAATAACAGTTGAAATTCATTTCATTACAATTAAAAACTTTGCATTTGATTACTTCACATTCAATCAAAATATTGTCGTCACGGCTTATTAACGTCTAATTAATACCCTTCATTCATATGAGTATGCAGTCTGAATCACCTTAAGCCAAACAACTCGATATTGATAAAATTGTTTGTTCTGAAAAGTTGTTGAAAGATTTTTTAAACATAGTCATTTATTATATGAGCACAACACAGACAAGCAGCCATTTGACTTCCATCTATTAATGATGATGGCAACATGCACAAACAAGATTCAAACAAAAAAATTTTTCAAATTCTTTAGTGCAATTGAAATTTCATGTTTTATTTTATTTTTTATTTTTGCTTGTTTTGTTTATAAAATTTATTTATATGCAGTTTTCTGCAATTTCAATTGAGCCATGTATTTCATGCCATGAAATATTGTTTTTTGATTTATTGATTTTATATGAGAGACCACCGGGAAATTATTATAAACTCTATGTACGTATTCATATAGTAAAATACTTTCTCGAGATCA